CCGGCCGGGGCGCGCGTGCGCGGTTCTGCGGCGGCGGAGGGAACCGCGATGGAGAGCGCTCCGACTGTCAGCCAGGTAAGCGGTGCCTGGCCCGGGCGGGCTCCCGCGCGGCGGCTTACCTGACAAACTTCCTCACCACGGCGGCTTGAACTCTCTCAGATTAATGATAATTAACTCCACCCTTCCCTTTCCTGGGCGCTCCTGGAAGTAACTTGGAAAGTTGTTACTGGGGAAACGGTTTCCTCGGCTTCCTGCGAGCCTGTTCCCGGCGGGCCGGCGGTGAGATTCTCAGCCTCTCCTGGGACGGGGGTGTTGGAATTGGATCCCGAAACATCAGGTCCACACGGCCCGGAGTTGGCGGCTGGAATCATGCTCCCCCTGATTCCATTGTCGGGAGACTGATCCTGTTTCTATCACTTTTACCCACTCTCATCCCTTCCCGTAACTACCAGCCTTTGTTAAAAAGATCCCCGAACTTTAGATAGTTGAAATCACTGTGCTGTCAGACAAGTTTTTGGTTTCAAGTAGTTTTGTTTATTGGGTACCATTTGATAAAACGAAGAACTTAGGAATCTTCAGAGGGGGGTAACCTCTTTTTGTTGTAGGGTGCCCTCATATCTGAACACTATCCTCATTACTTTTCCTTTGGATGTGTGTAGGTATTTTTACTTTCAGAGAAGTGCAGTCAATGCTTTACCTTTTATTTGAGCAGTATTTTACATTTTACAAAAGGATGGAGGCACTCAAATAATTGTGGAATGAACAGGTGAATTGCCCTTCCAAATTTAGCATTTGCAGATTCAACTAAGGGCAGATCGAAAGTGAACAGCACTATGTAGTTAAAACTGTGTAGCTGAGTCTGTATTGAACACAAATAGACATTTTCCCATGCCATTATTCTCTGAACAATACTGTATAACGATTTACATAGTATTTGCTTTCTATTAGGTGTTATAAGGAAACTAGAGATAAAGTATAAAGCAGGATATAGCAATCACTATGACATTTTATATAAAGGACTTGAATATCCTGTCATCAGGATGTGGATATGAGGGCTGGGGATCCTGGAACCAATATCTGTAGGCATGGAGGAACAATTTTACTTCAATTCAGTATCAAAGCATTACTACAAAATAGGTAAAATAGATAATCATGGGCTCAATCAATCACTGACCTATGCCTTGGTAGGGTATTCAGGATAAGATGGTGAGAATATAGGTATATGATTCCTGCTCTCAATGAGCTTATTGTCTAGAGGAAAGAATAGTTATCCTTACTGTAGATTCGAGGAAACTTATTTACCATTATTGGCCACATAGAAGTTAGAGAGGTAAGAATGTGTTATAGCTATCCGACAAAGTCAGAATGAATCCCAACTAAGAAGCTGATTTGGTTTTGAAACTGATAATCTCACACACACACACATATACAGGCACACTCATACACATGTGCACACACACACAGAGTATGAAAAGTATTATTATATGTGTTAGCTTCTTGCTTATATAATGAAAAAGGAAGAGCAGGACAGGCTGCTCAAGCTTGTCCAGAATTACTTGAAAGAGCTAGGAAAGGAAACTGGCTTTGCGTTTTTATTGGGGTCGGGTGAGGTCAGGATGAGGGTTCCTATGTGCCAACAGAGGCTTGCTTGGTTTTATTCTCCACCTATCACCTATGCCGAAGGAAAACAACCAGTCTTTTTTTTTTTTTTTTAAACGGTATATCCATTTGAAGGGTAGAAAGAGGTAGAAGGAGGGGTCAAGTGTAGGTCTGCTAGACTTACATGGCCTGCTCAGCTACCATTTTGGTTAAGTGCAGGCTGCCTTCCAACACAAGGTCAGAACAGCCCAGTCAGTTAGTTAGATGACCTAAAAGAACGTGGTATTCCACACCCTACAATTTTCCTTTCAAATTAAGCAAAAGCAGGACACTTGATCACCTGGGACAATGGGCATACACCACGAGGTATGCGCCTGAGAGACTCAGTGGAATGCTCTGTCAATAACATTGGCACCAGAACCCTCCCTGGTGGTGCACTAGGTTAAAGTGCAGCACTGTGAAACTGTCCACAGCTTGAGTTCTATCCCCAGCCTTGGAGGTGATCCACATGGTGCAGCAGACCTCTCCTGACCTGCCCACTGCTCCCCTCAGCAGTGTATTTTGGTATCTGCCTATTGTGCTCCCCATACTGTCTCTGGTGAATCCTCTCACTGCATCTCTAGCCTGTACCCCAGTTCTTGTATGCATACATAAAATAAATCTTTTATTAAATAACATTGGAACCAGGGCTGGGGCTCAGGGTATGGTTTCAACTCCAACATCTGGTCATCAAGCAGATTAAAAATATCTAGTCAGCAGACTCATGTTCCTCTGATGCCCTTGGTGAGATAAGCCTATTTTCATTTTCACTCCCCTTTTTCTCTTTTTTTCCCTACCCTACATAATTTATGCTGGATGATTATGCTATCAGTAAAAAGGCCAGGCTCTTGCTTGCCTAGCAGCATCCTGTATTGTGCAGCTTCTTCCATGACTCCCACTTCTTTATCAGTGTGTTGATGCCAACACAACAGTAAAGCTAAAAACTATCAACAGACAAACAAACAAAAAAAGAATAAGACTTCTTTTTACAGTTTATCCCAGTGTTTCATTTGTGATTGAGTTGTTCCATTTTTTATTTAAGTGAATTTGAACTTAAGTAAGCCAAATAGCCTGAAGCCAGAAAGGCAGGCACATGCTATATTCAAGAGTCCCACAATATGTAATAAGAAATAAAATGAGTACCTTGGTCACTACCAGTTATGTCTGGGAGATAGGAGTTTCTGGGTGAGGCCTTTTATTGTCGACTTTGACAGACATTTTGAGTTTATGTGAATCAAGAGAGTTCCAGACTTCTTCACCGCAAAGGAGACAATTCTTAAGTAATGGTGCAGGAGTTTATGAAACTGTGTAGGTGGAGTCAGCATTCGCTAGAACATTCAGTGTTAAGGAGACTAAAGTTCACTCTGTTTTCCTGACTCTTTGGTTCTTTATCATGCATGTGGTGGTCCTGGGATGAAGAGCATCAGATCTCCAGCGAGCCCCTTCGTGTGTAATGGTGGCAATGCTGTTCACCAAATTGCTAATTTATCCATTAGACTTCAAATGGGATTTGAAATGTACAAACTTCTGTTGCTGTCCATTCACTTGAACCCAAATCAGGACACAGGTAGACAAGGGGCCTGGAAGTGGGGAGACCTCTTCTAGCGTGATGGCATCTAACAAAGAAATGAGAAGAGAGACCATACTCTCCTGCTGGTGCCATTTGCTAGAGGGTCCAAGTTTGGTTCTATCCTGTAATAAGGCAGCCTTGCAGGCTATGTTGAGTTTGCAGGGTGCTGCTTTTAGAACAGAGGGGCACTGAGTACAGGGATTTACAGCCTCAGGCTTGTGAGAGCCTGTATTTCCAGGAGAGAACAATATTCTGTGAGTAATTGCTGCTTTAATGGCATGTTGTGTGGGGCTGACGAGATCATTTCTTGCATCAGAGGTCTGTAGACAATGAATGGACAATATGTGTGGCCCAGAAACAACAGGAGTCATGAAGAGGCTACTAAAGTCTCTAGTGTCATGAAGAGTTGATTTTGTATGTTGGGGCTTGGTGGGGCGGAGGTGGGGAGTAGTATTAATGGGAGTGTCATGATTTTGACAAATTCTAGAATCTCTTTTGAGAGGGGATCCTATTCATTGTGGACTTATATGCAAATAAAATATTTACTAGTTTCTGATTGAAGTCAGTAATTTCTGTAGTATCAATATCAAGGATACAATAACTATGAGACATCATTTATACTTTACAATTTAAAACCTATAGTGTAGCTTAACAGGCCACATTGGGCTGTTAAATGGAAAAGTAATAGGGAATAATCACTCTTACTAATTAGATTTTTATATAAGCCTCAATCTTTGAAGGCCTTGTTTTATTTTACATTGAACTATAGTAAATATTTTATCTAAGAATTGGGAATGGTGACACATGGGGTCCAACTTAAAAAAAAAGATACAATCAACAACAGGTTTCCCTGGTGGCACAGGGGCTAAAGTCTCAGTGTTATCAAGTTATTGACAGCTACTGCAGCACTAGTTCAATCCCCAGCCAGGGAGGTGACCCACATGGGGTGGCAGACTTCTCCTGACCCCCCTACTGCTCCCCTCAGCAGTGTATTTCAGTCAATCTGCCTGCTTCCTGCTTTGTCTCTGATGAATCCTCTCACCCCCTGGACCTCTGACCTATAACCAAGTTCTTGCATGCATAGCTAAATAAAATAAATCTTAAAAAAAGCAATTTATAAAGTTTTTATTTAGGTTGATTGCTCTGTGAATCAGGTTGCCTGTTACCCTTACCAGACATTTTAGAGCAATGTGCACTATGACCAGGGAGGACTTAGGCTAGCAGGTGTCTAAGTGGATAGTGCCAATCACCTTCAGGTGGTTATGATGAGATTTTTTTTTAAATAAAAGCGTTATTTATTTATTCATACAGAACTGGGGTATAAGCCAGCGGTGCAGGGGTGATGAGAGGACTCACCAGAGACAGAGTGGGGAGCAGAACAGGCAGGTGGACAAAGTACACTGCTGAGGGGAGCAGCGGGTGGGTCAGGAGAGGTCTGCCTCGCCATGTGGATCTCCTCCGGGGTGGGGATACAAGTTACACTGAACAGGCTGTGGCTAGCTTGCGGTGCTGCATCTGAACCCATTGTGCCATCGGGGAGGGCTTAAGATGAGACACATTTAATTGTTGTCTATTTTATGTTGAGTAACTCTCCCCAAACTATCAGGGGTACCATGTTTAAGTGTAGTGGAATTGTAATTTGAACCTAGTATTGATTAAAGTCATGAAGATTGCCAACTGATGGATTTCAACCAATTTTGAATATAAAACCTATGATGTAGAGGTGCAAAAATGAATCTTAGTTTTTGTTGTACATGTTACTTGAATAAAGAATGATTTCCAGCTGAGTCAAATTGTGAATTTTTGTTTTATTTGTTTATTCTTGCCAATATATCCTCCTTTACTTCTTTTGTTATTTCTCTTTTTGGTGATTAGTGGTATACTTTGGTGTAGGGGGTTCCTCTCTCTTTTCCTTTGTTTTTAATTCAGTAATGACTGCTTTTTCATGAGTTTCCAACCTTTGAACCTACATCTTGCTCAGGGCATAATCTTTTCCATGAGTGCTCCTCACCAGAGACAGAGTGGGGAGCAGAACAGGCAGATCCATGAAGTACAGTGCTGAAGGGAGCAGGGGGCGAGTCAGGAGAGGCCTGCCACACCATGTGGGTCACCTCTGGGGATCGAACACACGCTGAAGTAGCTTTAGCTTCTTAGTGCTGTGCTTTAACCCACCGGGCCACTAGGGAGGACCTGGGAGTCATTTATTTAAACTCCATTGTTTACATGAATCAAAGTTTATTAATTTCCCTATCAATGGACAGTGAAGTTGTTTTTAGTACCCGAGTATTTTAAACATTCTTTTCACCATGCATACATTAAATTGGACCCTTGTAGTCATTGCAGATTTTCCCCAAAGAGGTTGTTTAATCAGTTTTATACTGTGTAATTGTTTCAGTACCTGACTGAAAAATTTAAAGGTTAAGTGTTTTATTCATTTTTACATCCTTGGTGCCAACTAAATTCCTTAATAAACTGTAATAGTTGGAAAAGGTTTGTTGCTCGTATATGTGTATGGGCTATAGAAGTAAAGCACTGTTTTCTGAAAGCTTAAATAGTTAAATTTAAAGTTTTAAAGTTCATATAATTTGAACATTAGTTGTTTTCTTTTTAAAATGTGCATTTCTCAATAAGTGACTTAACTTGTTTGATACTTATTCCAGGTAATAAATAAAGGGGATTCAAGCTTTGCCACAGAATCACAGGAAGAGTTAGAGGAAAATCCTAGTCCTATTGTTGATGAGAATAATATGGTGTCAGTGAAAAAACAGGGACCAAACGTACATAACTGGAGTGGTGACTGGAGCTTTTGGGTAATATATTTTTGCTTATATATTTCATTTTAAACTTGAATGCAACATTTCTTTAAGTCTATAGCAATTCATACTGTATTTTTAATGTTTTCTTATGAGCTTGAAATTTTCCTTGTTTAATCCCAAATCCTAGAGATATTTCTGATTGTGTCCTCCTTTGGCCACTAGAATGCACTGTTGTCTGGCTTGATAGTTGGAATTATCTGTTTCAATTTCCCTGGGAGAAAACTATACCACAGAATTGGATTGCACTTACATTGTAAACTGTATTGGCAAGAGGCTAGTATTACACAAGAATTATGTTCTAAGTGTTGCTAAGAGGCAGCTACTCTACATAATTTTGATTTTAAGAATCGCTTCCTGTACCTAAAAGGAAGTTTAACAATGTGTGACCTGTAATGTGTAATAATTATGTGATAGGTTGTTAGTTTTTGCTTTTTTTGAAGAGAGAGACTTTCATGAGACTTAAATCATTTTTAAATGAGACTTTAATCAGGTTTAAGTGGAAGAGTAAAATTTAAAGTTAGGAGTTTTGTACTGTGTTCACTTGATTTATAACCTGGATACACTTCAGGTTTCCCCACGTAAAATGAGACCACTGCTTGTTGATCAGGTTCATGGAATCTTTCTGTAAGAACATTTCTGTTACTATATAAATGCTAGCATTTACTGTATATTAAAGTGTTCATGATAAAACTACCAATTCTATGATAATTATAAACCATTCAGAATGTTTTGGAATAATGCAACTGTAAGTGAAATTTATGTAAGATCCTAAGACATATATAGTTTCAATATTAATTCATTAGAATGTTGATATCTTGAGGATTCGGTATTATTGTTAGCATAATTTTAAAATAAATGAAAACACAATATTAATAGGTTTTGTTCAAAAGTAGCAGCTGATTAATTGAATTTTATTGAGTCTTAACATGAACAGTTCTTCCTAAGAAGCTTAACATCATGTTTTTAAAACCATATTCTAAAGAAAATAGTTAATTTCTAAGAACAATAGTAAAATAACTACATATCCTAAAAATGATATCATTTATATTGCCTATATTCTTTTTTGTCACATTTAGGGAAAGCTTATGACTGTGGTGTTCAATCCTTCTGCACTGTGATTTTTATAGCTTGTGTTACAAATTAGAGAATCTTTGTAGCTCCAAGAGCTATCTGTAGGGCTAAGCAGTTAACTGTGGATTACTGTTGACCACTTTAAACAGAAGAAAAAGAAGTTAAAGCAAAGGAAAAGAAAATGTGAGGGAGTGAGAGGATTTGGAATAGCAGGTAAGAGGGAAAAAAGTCTGTGTTCTAGTGCTTTGCTACTCAAAAGTACAGATAAGTAAGTCCAGGGGACTCAGCTCAGCATCATCTGCGAACTGATTTGAAATGTAGAATCATGACCCTCTGAGTCAGAATCTTCATTTTCACAAGATTTCGAGTGATTTACATGCACATTAAAGTTTGAAAAGCCTTGGTTTAGAGTGTTGAAGGTCTGCTTTTGTTCAGTCTCCATGCTGATTGCAAGCACTTTTTTGAGCAATTTTTATATGGATTCACATGGAATAGTCTTAAGCATACAATATCTCAGAAGTGTTAGACTTTTCCAGTGGTCACTTACCCAGAAACCAGAGTTAACAGAATTCAGATGCAAACAAAACCAAAAAAGACCCTGAACATGTTTAAATCAAAATTCATGCCAATATATCTTGAAATAAGAGTTCCTCAAGTCTTCATGTGGAATATCTTTATTATATTTTTGGACAGTTTTTATAAGCCCACAGAAGTTGGTTCTCATTTTATTGAATAGAGTAGTGGGGGTAGGGAAGTTACATGATAACACATGGAGAGCAGCGACAGCAGAATTTCAAAAAGGTGGCAACCTGGGCCTCTTAAGGTGGAGGCCAGAGGTCTGTGCAGCTCAGCTGCCTGTAATATAATAGTATCACTAACAGAAGTCAAGATGTCTGGAAGGTAAATAATGTTTTTTGTTTTTTTCTCTTAGTCATTTGAAATGCTTTGTTTCTATCATTGACTTGACACAGTTTTCACCCTGGTGATAAAGTAGTAGTTGAATGTGCACAGTAGAGTGGAGTTCCTGAAGGATACAAAAGTAACACAGAGAAGGCAAGTTATAGCAAAGTATTCATGAGGCTCAAAACCTGGTAATTATGCAAAGCTTTAAAAGAATATCAGAGTCATTTCCCTGGAACATGCAAGAAAAGTGGATTTGCCCTTTTACACTTGAGGAAGATTCTTACCAAAAGGAATTGATCACCACACCACACCCACTGCCAAGGTACCCAGAGTCCTTTACCACAATCCATTGTGCTCTCCCCCACCCACCCCTGGGACAATCTCAGGCAAAGATGTACCCCCATAACATACTCTCCTTGAGACTCTTGGACTCTGACACCCCTTTAATCAATGCTCTCCATTGATAACGTCTTAGAATTTAAGAGTTAAGCTTCAAGGATCTAGGAAGTTCACTGTTGTAGACTAACTTAACTGGTCTAGCCTGGCTAACTCAATTGCCCCAAGTAGTGAATTTAGTGGGCAGCATGGTAAAATTTAACACTTTGGAGACTGGGAACAAAATGCCTGGGACAGCGTGTCTTCTGTCTCTGCACTGGTGTGGTGTTCTTGAGTATGTTGTTTAACCTGTCTGGCTCCTGTGACTTTACTTACAAAGTTAGGGATTGTGTTGCAACACTGGTATGTCATGAGCCAATGAGAAAAAAAGATAACTAAATGCTCTAACTTACAGTCCTGGCAACTATAGGTATCAGTCATAATAATACTCCAGGAGTCTCAATAAGTGTATGTTATGGGGGTATACCTTTGTCTGAGATTGTCCCAGGGATGGGTGGGGAAGGGCATTGTGGGAAGGGGCACAATGGACTATGGTGAAGAACTGTGGGTGTCTTGGCAGTAGGTGTGGTGTGTTGACATACTTATGGAGGGTGTGATCCTCTATCTTTAAATCATATACAATGTTGTAACCAATATTAACTCAGTAAAAGTAAATACATTTTTTAAAAGTAAAAATAGGAAAAAAAAAATGCCCCAGGGATAGAAATGTAAAGAAGTTCTAGATAAGAGTAACTACCATTTGTAATATAGGAAAGTGTATATTGATACAAGTTAGAAAAAAGTTTTGAAAACCTAACAAATCAAAGCTTATCAATGGGTCTTTTGTTTGGTTTGTTTTATTGGGATTGATTTAATTTGTGTTGCTTCATAGATTGGTTAATAAGTACCTTTCCGACAGTAGAACTTTAAAGAAATTTGCTGAAATTGACATAGCACTTGATAGCAAAAAAATCAAGTTACTGATTTTTCTGCTTCAATCCTATAATATATAAAAATCTTTATTTTATATTTGTTGTTTTATTTAGAAACGAAAATATTTAATTGTAGCATGTGGAAATGACTTTTACTATTAACTTCTAAATCTTAGCAGTAAGAAATATGTGATAATGGGCCCTCCCTGGAGGTTGAGGGGTTAAGTATCAACGTTATCACAGTGACAGCCCACTGCAACCTGACCAGGAAGCTAAGTCATTTATAGCACAGCTTGTCTCTGTATTTTAGTAAATCGGCTCTCTCTGCTCCCCATCTGTCTCTGGTAAATCCTCTCGCCCCCTGTACCCTTGGCCTGTACCCCAGACTTTGTAGCATAAATAAATTTTAAAAAGAAAGAGAATAGGAAAAAAGGAGTGGAATTTTAGAAGAGATTAGAGTCAAAATTATCATTTCTGTAATTTTTCAAAGGACTTATTTATTTATGCATATAGAATCGGGATACATGCCAGAGGTACAGGGGGCTAAGAGAAGTCACCAGAGAAAGAGTGGGGAGCTGAACAGGCAAATGTATGGAAATACACTGCTGAGGGTAGCAGAGGTCTGCTGTGCTCTGTGGGTCAGCTCTCTGCTGGGTACTGAACTTGTGCTGCAGTGGCTGTGGATTGCTTTGTAGTGCTGTGCTTTAAACCGTTGTGCCACCAGGGAGGGCCCCATTTCTTCAAATTTTTTTTTAATATTTATTTATTTATTCGTACAGAACTGGGGTACAGGCCAGAGATGTGGAGGGTGAGAGGATTCACCAGAGACAGAGGGGAAGCAGAACAGGCAGATCAACGAAGTACACTGCTGAGGGGAGCAGCGGGCTGGTCAGGAGAGGTCTGCCGCGCCATGTGTTCAGGCAGGGCAGGCGGGAATTGAACTCATGCAGAAGCTGCTTTAGATTCTCAGTGCTGTGCTTTAACCCGCTGCGCCACCTGGGAGGGCCCAATTTTTTTTTTTTCTAAAACATTTTAAGAATAAAACAAATCAAATATTTAAAGTGTTAACTATGTATGTATAAATTATAACTAGTAAACTTGTTATAAACTAGTAAACTTTGAGTAGAAAATATTTAGATTTGGATTTCTCTGGATCATAGTCAAGATTTCCCAATTGTACAAAAAATTAGAAGTCTTGGTTCTGTATTTTTTGATTAACTTATGGTATATAATCTTAGTCATGTTATTCACAGGTAAGCTTCTCTACTCACACTTGGAGAATAAAGTTTGCCACAAATCTGGTTAATGTACATCTTGAGGATTAATTAATGTTGCACTGTAAAATTTAAACAAATCCCAGGAGAATTAATTAGTATGTTTTTATTACACTTTGATAAATTTGGAGACGAGTTTTCCTATAACCACATTTTTTTTTTCACAGAATACCTTGTATTTATTCAAGCTGAAAAGAATATTTCAGATTTTTGTTTTGGTAACTGATTAAGAAAATTTAACTCATTTTCCAATTTTTTGACATTAAGATATTTCTTTAATACAGTGTAAGAAAATTTAAGTATAGTTAGATCTATCATTTGAAAAACGAGATATCTTTGAACACTTTTAAATTTAATTATAAGGAAGTAGAAAATAAAATTTCTGGCAACAATGCAAGAGGACTATTTATATTTTTTCACTACAAAGTACCTAGAAATG